GACCTCATGCTGTAGATCTTTTCTCAGCTTTCATCATAATTTTAGCTCTGAAAAGTTAATTATTGTTTAGACGCTGATTATGAAGTGAGAAGGTGATAAGTCTAACCTCCTTTCACTTCCACTGAACAGCGTCAGTTTGAGCTCAGACTCTGACTTACCTCATCTTTTCCACGCAGAGCCACTTTGGTGGTCCACCAGTAATCCAACGAGATGAACACGCCCACAGACAGAGACCTGGACACAGACCAGGTGACGGGTTTAGTGCACATACACTCCCCAAAGGACATTTAGTGAGCTATTAACAAAATAAAGTCTCTGCTGGCTGAGCAGAGTTGGCTCTGCGACGCGTCCCCATTAATCCATGCACCTTGTATTTTGTGTATTTATTAAACCACAATAACTTTTGCCCTCCATTAAACAGTACCTGTATTAATTTACATCACTGATAAGTATGACTGAAAAACACATCGATCCAAAAAAGTGACGTTCAACAGTGACGGTCCTCAATCGACAGTCAACAGAAAAGTTTGCAAAAACCCTATTAAACCAACACCTGGTGCCATATGTGACCACGCCCCTCATGCACTTACCTGCAGGACTGGACAAATCTGAGCACCTGTGCCACCAGAAACAACACAACACGTAACAGTCATTTTGGCTCTTGCATAGAATAAAAAAAACATACACGATAAGCTGACTGTATTCTAAGCTCATGATTTTTGATTTAGATTTAGATTGAAGATCTTCTGACTCGTCACTATGGCCACGACAAACTGTTAAAAGCAGCGTTTCAGACAGCAGAAGATAAAGAAAACCTAAAAACTGCATCAACGTGCAAACTCTGACACGTTGCTTGAACCAAAACCAAAATGCCATCCATCCTTTACACTTTGTTTCTGCATTTTGCTTTTCTCAAATGAATAACCACATTTTGTAACATCACCAGTTGTTTGTTTGAGGTTGTGTTTATCTAATTTTATGAGCCGATCTTTATTTCTTTTTAACAGACCAGTTGCAGTGTGACATCACGTGTAAATGGTAACTGGACTGTACTTATATAGCGCCTTTCTATCTTATCGAGACACTCAAAGCGCTTTACAACAATCTGTGCTTCATTTTCCATTCATACAGCTCTATACTAGATCTGTACAAAGATAATAGAACAAATCATTCTAAAGAGACTAATCAGAGCTTTATCACATTCATACACTGATGGGACACACATCAGAGGCTATGAGGGGTTCAGTGTCTTGCCCAGGGACACTTTGACATGTGACTGCTGGTGGATTCGAACCCCCAACTCTTGCATTGGAGGACGACTACTCTAACCACTCAGCCACAGCCGAATGGCTGCTGGTTGGAAACATCCACGACGTTGCACTGAAGTAGAGCGTGAAGCTTACAGAGAGCTCAAGTAAACAAAAAAAGTGTGCGCACAAAGGTTCATTTCCAATTCAGCTCAGTTTAACAATTTTCAGTCAGGTCATCTGGACAATTAATTTTTTTTTTCAGCAAAAACAGAAACTGTCCAGATGACCTGACTGAAAATTGTTGGATTGTATACCTGGATTATTGAGCATGGACTTTGTTGGTTCAGTTCAGTTTATTTATTTAGCGCCAAGTCACAACAGAAGTCATCTCAGGGCACTGAACAGAAACATTCACATATATATAAAAATAATTAACACTATTTATCTGAGGAGCAGATTTCTTATTTTGTAATAGGTGTAATTACATACACAGTAATTCCAATGTAATAATAATACCTAATACAAGAAAGCCCCATACAATATCCACAAACAGAATATATTCTCAGCTGCTGACCAGCTCTTACCGTATTTTCTGGCGTATAAGTCAGTTTTTTGCATAGATTTGTCAGTCCTGCAACTTATATACATGTTTATAATTTCAAATTTATAAAGCAACTTTTGGCTGACGCTTTAAATTTTGAAGAACTGCACCAGAGAGTCTTCTCGTGCACGCTCGCTTCACCCAACTGGTGCAGGTGGAGGAACGCTGGAGAGCTAGCGGCTCCGGCCGTCATGGACGGATGGATAGCGCCGCGCTGCCCAGGTGAAATTAAGCTGTTTTGACTACTAAATAAACAAATAATAAGTGTGACGGGTCAGCAGTGACGCATAATAAATGTGACTTAAATGCCGGAGCAACTTAAACCCCCAGTATACTCCAGCGTACGTCCATACACAGAGGTACGCACGTACGTATGCGGAGGTACGAGCGTACCCCCCAGGGCATGTCCGTGCAAAGCTCAATTTTTACGACCGCATACGCGTACGCGGTGTCGCACAATAAACTGCCCAGCGACGGACTGTTTTGTATGCGACACCAATGTATTAAATTCTCCTTCTTCATCCCTGATCTGGCCTTTTCTTTTGTTTTTTTGCGAAGAGGCAGTGATCTCTTCCTCCTCCGTTGATGCCATGACAGAAATGGTGAGAAATGGAGGAATTTGTCACGAGTGAATTAAACTCAGGTCCAGCATGGCTGCGGGAGGGTCTGGAGATTTCCTGGTGGGCTGGTTTGATGTGTGGGCTGCAGGGCCAGCGCTCCCTTTCTTTTAAATTTTGTTAGATCTTTTTATTAACAACATATAAACACAGAACATCGCTGCGGCTGCCAGAGCTCGTTTTTTCTTCTTCTGACCTGTCAATCAATCCAGTAGGCGTGTCAGCAAATGACCAATTGGCGACCTCAATTTGTCCCGAAGATAAACGCCCCTTGTCTGCGGAGCTGCTCTGCAGCTGCTCAGGGTGTATGCTCGAATATGAAGTCTGAACCCTCTGCGTACAGTACACGAGTACGTACGCGTGAACAGACGTACGCGGGAGTATACTGGGGGCTTTATAGATAGGCCTGTCGCAATAAACAATAAACGATAAACGATAAATCTATTAATCGCATGATAAATGAAAATTATCAACCTCTTTTTCATTTATCGGCTTTATCGCTTCTTCTTGTCTCTCTTTTTACTGAAGACACTGGATGACAAAAGGTTTAACTCCGGTGCTCTTCACTGACCCCTCCCTTTCTCTTTAAAACGTCCCAAAATACGTTTTTGGATCGTTAAAAGCTGCTAAGCTGAGAAGATAAGCTACAAGCTAAGCTAACAGGCCGACCTTGGGGAAAAAAACCTCCGTCTTGTCCAAGCTCCAAAATTCACGGTTGAAACCCTTGCCTTTGTGTAAAAAGTTGTTTTTCTCTGCAAAAAGAAGCTGAGAACTGGTTTACTGCTTTTTTTATTAAAAGCTTTGCGTGTAAAATGCTATGCTAAAGAGCTCAAACCACACTAGGAATGCGCGATATAAACGGTACACGGTAGAAACGATAAAAATTTAGCCTACGATAGAGATCTGTCTTCTACCAGCTAACCGCAGTAACGCTGTGTCTGAAGTAAAATCAAAGTTGTCAGTTTATTCGTTACTTTTTTTGAGCTGAAAACTGTGCGCAAGTAGCGTTAAAGTCTTTTCTTCGAGAGCTAAGTAGCAAAGCTACAAGCTAACTACAGCCGGCTTGCCGTAGTGTTGCCATATTCTGACGCATGCGCAAAACGCTGTGTTCCGTCAAAAGTTTTTTTGTTTTTTTTTCCTTCGAAAGTTAAAGTAAGCGTTGGTCAGCTTTAGAGAAACCTGCTCTCTGATCTGTAAAAAGAACGCTGTGTTGTGTGATTTTACTGCGAGACCCTCTGGTCAAAGCCACAGACTCATTTTGTGTCAGCTCTCCATTAAAGCAGAAGGAGGCGCCCACTAGAGGGTTGGAGGGTGAAGTGTTTCAGTGTAAAATGCTGCTCTGTTGCTGTTCATTTCTTAAGAGACTGGAAACTGTTAAGAGTTAACAACATATTATTTTGTTTAAAACATATGACTAAAACTACATTTGATATCTTTTGCACTGTTTTGCACTACAAGAAAGAAGCCTAATACTTGATTTATTATTTAAAAACTCTCTGGACCTAGTAGTGGAATTTTCTTAATTCAAAATATATGATGGCAAAATGACACCCTATGCTTTTTTTTAGCAAGTTTTATACCAAAAACATATTGCGATATTTATCGTTATCGCCAACCTTCACAATACATATCGTGATATGAATTTTATGCCATATCGCACATTCCTAAACCACACCAAGCGTCCACCATTTTGAGCATCCAAAAAAAAGTAAGGAGAGACATTCCATGTCATGTCAAGGGACCTCCCTCCCATTTTTCTTAAAAAGACCCTCCTCAACTATCCATCCTTCGGTTCAAACAGTCTTATACTGCCATCTGGTGGTCAAAAAAGGTATACACTCAAAACAAATCAACATTTCTTATAAAATTTTACAATGACTAACTATTGTTAAATTTCAAACAATATTATCGTTTATCGCAATAATTTCTGAGACAATTAATCACCCAGTAAAATTTGTTATCGTGACAGGCCTTCTTATATGGCAGAACATACGGTATTTGAGCTAGAATAATGATTGTGTAATGGTGCACCTTCAATAATTTATCACAATATCTTTGCACATCAATGCTGTTTAAATGCAGCATCTACTGTGATTTCTTCTCTGCACTTATTTTTCTACTGTTGCCCAGCTTCAAGTCAATTCATACGTTTATGACAACCGCTGCACATGCACAGATGTTCAAAGTCGAAACAAAACATGCAGTGGGTCTCCAGCCACTGTGCAGAGATAAATGCTGCAGGGTTCAGTGAACAAACAGAGAAAAATGGATTGGTGGAGTGCAACATGTTACAGATCACTTTCTTGTCTTTGCATAAGCATGAACTACACGTTATTTTTTATGCTTGTGGAGTCCCTGTAGCATTTTCTTTGTGTTTGCATGAGGGAGATCTGCTCTGAATGACTTGTTTCAAACTTTATCATCATAATAAACTGATATTAAAACTAGTGTGATGATAGTAAATTAAAAACATGAACCAACCTGCAAAAGCGACCAATTCCTTCTACAACAATTCTCATCTTCCTCCTCTGTCGACGGTCTGACACGGCATACTGAACGCCCGCCGCCACAGGCACAGCGACAGAAATGCCAACAAGCGTCTTCCATAGCTGCCCTCTACGCTTCCTCTCCCTGGAACAAGTGAAAACAGGTCAGTTTCACTATATAGAAAGCAACTTTGTCCCGCATAATGGTTTCTGTTAGGTACCTGGTGGAGTGGAAGGGTCTGGCTGTTCGGAGCAGCAAGCCATGATGTGCAGCTCTTCGTAGAAGAGCCAGGTGATGATTGCATAATCTTAACTAAACACAAAAGAACTGTGAGAAGTTTTATCACATCTGAAGACAAAGCCCATTCATGTATCGCTGCAGCACACAGGGTGGCTTTAATCCAGGCCTGGTAATCTGCTGGACTTGGAACAGAGCAGACTCTGCCCCCTGAGGACTCATATCCCGCTCAACATCTAGTCCAGAGGTCTGCAACCTACAGCCATGGGGCCACATGTGGCTCTTTGGTACCTCTGCAGCGGCTCGCTCAGGCTTTGACCAAAGCTAAAATAAAACTGAATTTTATTGAAATTATTGCCAACAATGAAAATGACTACCGTAGTTTAGCAGATTTCCTGTTAGTTTCAAATATGTGAAGAATAGTACAAATACAAGGTGTAAAACATGTGGACCACATCATGCTAGTAGTTTGTTAGCCTCTTTAAATTGACTTCCAGTGTCACAGCGCGATCGTTCTCTCAAAACCACCAGAATGTTTTGGAATATTCATTCAGTCAACCTTTATTTATCCAGGTTAATCCCATTGAGCCTCAGGGACTCATTTACAAGAGAGAGCCGATTTCAACAAAGAGTGATGATAATAACGACAACAATAGACAAACATAAAAGCATACAAATTGAGAACAAATGTAAGAGAATGGTGTTAAAATAACGAAACAAAAACATATTTTAAACATCTTTAAGACAAGTTGCTGAGGAATATGGTGAGTAACTTTGATAACAATAAGAATAAAACACAAAGTCAAAGTGAACAAAGTATTTACTTTTCTTTAAAAATGTACCTGGATATCCAACAAACTTTATACGGTCTCTAATAGAGATGCACGATACTGGATTTTTGACCGATTTTTGGATACGCCGATATGTTAAAACTTATTTGGCCGATAACCGATACCAATACTGATTTTATTTTTCTATACCTACTTACAGAGACTACATAGCTTTCTCTGCTCTGGAATCAAAATACTACATTATTCTGCATGGCCTTTGTCAATTTGGCCTGACAGCAAATGCCAAAAAGGGGCTGAAAATGATGTAACTCTTCAACTTGGATTATGTTTAATGTCAAATTTATTCATATTTACCAGTACTCTCTCTAACACAATAACACTTGAACACAAATCTAAACTCAACCTGTTCACAAACAACAAGTGAAAAGTGCATAAGTAGTAGTGCATTAATAAACTTGATAGTTCACTAAATTAAAAATTTACTTAAAACAAGCCTTTTATATCGGTGAGTTATTTTGACGGAATGGCCGATGTCTGATATTTAACTTTATCGCTAATATCGGCCGATATCAATACCATGCCGATAATATCATGCATAGTCTCTAACTTTATGCTTTAATAGGATACTTCATTCTTCAACAATTAAGAGAACTCACATAAACCTGTAGAGTTCAGTGTTTTAATTTTTTATAAAATTGTTAAAAAAAAAAGTTTTTCTTTCTTTACACGGATCTCATCTTTTCTTATGTATTAAAATGTAAAAATATCAATAAATGTAAATAATAGTTAGACATTGTTCATTTTATAATATCACCCCCACTGGACAGAGAAGCCATCACCAACAAACTTGTAGTGGCCCATGAACCACCAGTTGACAGAACACAGTTGTTTTGCAGCTCCGGATAAATTATAATTAGTAAGCAAAGTGGCAAAAATGGCTCTTTTTTTTTTTAATCGCAAAGGTTGCAAACCCCAGATCTAGTCTTAATCTGTGTGCGCGTGCGTGTGTTGGGAATGTGTCCCATCAAGGACTGTGCTGTTTGTGTACGCTGTCTGCGCGTGAGGGACAAAATGGCTCCACTGCTGACAAATTGATGTAGAGATAAGAGGATGTCAGTGACCTGATACGTGCTATGGCAAGCCCTTTTAACATAAAATCGAGTAGTCTGACTATCTGTAGTTACATTCTAGATATCTTAAATGGAGTTTTGACTAGGCACAATTACATTTTGACTAGTCAGAATGCTAATTTAAGATATCTGTATTTACATTCTGACTAGTCAGAATAACAATTCAAGATATCTTGAATTACATTTTGACTAGTCAAAAATGTAATTCAAGATATCTTAAATGACGTCACCTGATTCGTCATTTGAAGGGTCAAACATCCGTAATTACAATTCAAGATATCTCAAACGTAATTATGACTAGTCAGAATGACACTGTTAGATATCTTGAATTAAGAGGGCTTGCCACACACGTCCAGTGGGTCTTAATGACACAGCGCGGGGAGCAGACAGGAACACAAAGACTTGGTCAGGAGATGCTAATGATGGCGGATACTTTGCTCAAAGTCCTGTTTTTATCCACCCATCATCCGTCAAACTGGCACGAATCTGAACATCTAGTGAAACTACATCAATAAATGTAGTTTAACTGAAATAATGTCGCATAACATTGAAGTAACTGTACTAAAATAGGTATTATCAATTAATATATTCGTTAAAACAAGCACGCAGTTTTAACGTGGTTTTTTTTACCATTCTTGTAGTCTCTCCTGTCATGTTGTCCCGGGTTTATAAAACCGTCCTCGGTGAATCAAAGTCAAAGTGATAGCCCGCAGCCTGCGGCACCTACTTCCGCTGCTACTAGCATGATTACTGCCGATTAGCCAAAGCGTACAACGGAAGATGAGATGATACGCTCCTTGCTACTTCCGCCCTCGTCTGCTTGTTTGACAAGTGACGCTTGAAGCCGTCACTGAGCCCATTTTAAACAAAATATATTTGTTTTTTTTACAAAGTGGGACTTTTTCCTTTTAAGTTATATAAATGTTTGATTTCTATGTGTGAGATATGTAAAAAAAAATAGTTTGCTTATTGCCAATGATGCAAGTGCAAAATTTACATCAGTGAGTTCACATCCGGGTATGCAGACAGGGTAACATCTTCTGGCTATTCTGACAGTTTCCGTCGTGGTCGCTTGAAGGCGGGAGTGCGAGCGGATGGATGACGGAGAGAGAAAAGATGAGTCAGCAATTTGGTAAGGCGGTTGGCAGCGGCTGGGCTG